AAGCTAACGTATTTTTCGGAGGCCGTGTTATCCCAACGGAGTTCGTGATTATTCCGCAGGTGACACATGATGTTATTTTGGGTATGGACTTTTTGAGGGAGTGTGGTGCGACTGTCGACTACCGCACAGGGACAATAGTCTTGAATGATCACGTTCCGCCAGCACTCTTGGAAAACCCTGTGGATAGTGAGACGGCATTGTGTGTCTGTGGCGACACTATCATACCACCGTTATCAACCGTTCGTGTACCTGTTGGTTGCAGCGACAGCTATTCCGCCAGCTTTGATGCCAACGTAGAGCCAGTGTACACCATTTGCATAAAAAAGAATGTGTTGATCCCACATTGTGTGGTGTCGATCAGACGTGGACGCGCTGGTTTATGGACTGTCAATTGCTCTACCGAACCCGTGATGTTACCAGATGGTCTAAAGTTAGCCGTCGTGAGTGGACAACACGAGGCCTTACTGGTGACCGAGCTTAGAGATGCGCTGGAAGAGCATCGTAGTCACAGTTTCGAAACGGCTCTTCTGTCAATGGTGAATAAGTCGCTGAGCACAAGTGAACGCCGAACATTGGTCAATGTACTTTCGAAGCACGTCTCTGCATTCGACTTTGCGCAGAAAGACAAAGCGCCTCTAATCCCTGCTTCTCGGACATGTCACACTATCAACACGGGTTTGGCCAATCCAATTAGACAAAAGCCATACCGTGTTTCGCCATCCGAGCGGCGGATTATTAATGAGCAGGTGAACGAAATGATTGAAAATGGTATCATTCAAGAGTCGGTAAGTCCATGGGCAGCTCCAGTAATTCTCGTTAAAAAGAAAGACGGATCCTGGAGATTTTGCGTCGATTATCGCCGATTGAATGCTGTAACAAAAAAAGACGTGTACCCACTTCCACGTATTGATGATGCCATAGACTGTCTGCATTCGGCCTCTTACTTTTCCTCTGTAGACTTAAGATCGGGCTACTGGCAAATTCCCATGCATCCTGAAGATAAAGAAAAGACAGCCTTTGAACACCTGACGGCCTTTTTGAATTCAACGTGATGCCATTTGGACTGTGCAACGCGCCGGCGACGTTCGAGCGATTTATGGACACTGTTCTTCGTGGCTTGAAGTGGAGCATTTGCATGTGCTATCTCGACGACGTCGTCATCTTTGGCCGCACCTTCAGCGAACACAATTCACGTCTGGATACTGTACTGACTTGCATAAGAAACGCTGGCCTTGTTCTTAACTCAAAGAAATGCCACTTCGGAGACCGACAAACCCTTGTTCTCGGGCACCTAGTCGATCAGGAGGGCATCTGTCCAGATCCCCAGAAGACAGCAGCCGTTGAAGCATTCAATGTGCCGCGCTCTGTGAAGGAGCTCCGCAGTTTTTTGGGGCTTTGCTCCTATTTTCGCCGCTTTATACCCAAATTTGCCGATGTCGCGTATCCGCTGACATGTTTGCTACGGAAGAATACTCCCTTCGAGTGGACTCCGGAGTGCGACTCCTCTTTTCGTCAACTGAAGTTCCTCCTGACGTCGCGGCCTGTTCTTCAACACTTCAACCCATCAGCTCCAACCGAACTGCACACAGATGCCAGCGGCATAGGAATTGGTGCCGTCCTAGTTCAACGCTATGGTAACCGCGAGCACGTGATTGCATACGCAAGTTGCTCCTTGAGTAGGCCCGAACAGAATTACACTGTCACAGAACAAGAATGCCTCGCGGTAGTATTTGAGATTCAGCGGTTTCGGTCTTACTTATACGGACGCCCTTTTACAGTTGTCACCGACCACCACTCATTGTGTTGGCTCGTCAACCTTCGGGATCCTTGCGGCCGTCTAGCACGCTGGGCACTTCGGCTCCAAGAGTATAACTTGATAGTCTCGTACAAAAGTAGTCGACGACACGCCGACGCAGATTGCCTTTCGCGCATGCCACTGAGCACTACAGAGTGTGACGCCGATGACCTCGATCACCTCGTAGCTTCTGTGTCACCGAAGTTTCCCGACCTCAGTACTTTCAAAGATGAACAGTGAAAGGACACCAGGCTATCATCGCTTTGCACAGCTCCTACGGCATGCCATTTCTGTGTACGCAACGGACTCCTATATAAGAAGAACTTTTCCAGCACTGGTGCACGTTTCCTCCTGGTAGTGCCAGAAACCCTTCGGACAGCGATTTTAGGTGTGATGCACGATGATCCTACGTCCGGACATTTAGGTTCTGCGCGGACGCTTTACCGTGCTAAGGAACGCTTTTATTGGCCAGGAATGCGACAGTCAGTCGAGGCGTATGTGGCCAGCTGCACACAGTGTCAACGCCACAAACGCCCGTCTACTGCTCCGGCTGGTTTTCTACAGCCCTTGCCACCTCCAAGCACACCTTTCCAACAGGTGGGCATTGACCTCATGGGCCCTTTTCCAAAGTCGGCTAAGGGCAATCGCTGGATAATTGTATGTGTCGATTACCTCACGCGCTACTGCGAGACGGCGGCCATACCAACCGCAACTGCCAGCGACGTCTCTGTGTTCCTGCTGCAGCACTTATCCTCCGACATGGCCCACCTCAGGTGATCATCAGTGATCGCGGGGGACAATTTACGGCAGACATAGTAGAAGAGCTGCTTCGATTGAGTGAGTCTCGCCTTCGTCACTCGTCGCCATACCATCCGCAAACAAATGGGCTCACGGAGCGTACCAATTGAACAATTGTAAACATGCTCTCTATGTATGTGGCATCCGACCACAAGAACTGGGATGACGTGCTACCATTTATAACGTACGCGTTCAATACCGCTAAGCACGAGACAACAGGCTATAGCCCCTTTTTCTTGATGTACGCACGACCGCCGCGGCACACACTCGACACAGTTTTGCCATTCTCGGCGCACGAGAACCTCTCAGTCACCGAAATTCTCTGCCTTGCAGAAGAAGCGCGTCGTATTGCTCGTCTACGCACTTTGGCATCACAGGAAAAATCGAAGGTACGCTATGACGTCCGCCACCGGCCTGTAATTTACCATCCAGGCGACTTAGTGTGGCTGTGGACTCCGGTACGAAGACGCGGGTTATGCCAAAAGTTCTTGGCCACATACGACGGACCGTTTGTCGTTCTCGACAAAATCACGGAAGTCGCATACACAATAGCTCGCCTCACGAGAAGTGGTAGAAGAGCCGCTAAAACCCAAGCAGTCCATGTCGCTCGACTGAAGTTGTACACACCAAGATGAATCGGTTACCTCGCCCGGCGGGCTTCGTCTGCGAGGGGAGGAATGTTACGCATGCCTTGGAAGAAAACGAAGATGGGTGAACATGCTGACTGCCCCAAGCTGGAGGAAGAAAGAAGACGACGAGACTGCGATCATCAACCTGTTGGCCGCTCCGGCGCTTCTCTTCGCGACCAAAATAAACGGCCCCCTTCAGCCGTATACGTCCTGGTCCTCCTTGTGCGTAACAATATATATATATATATATATATATATATATATATATATATATATATATATATATATATATATATATATATATATACAGATGAAAAAAACAATTACTTTAAATTACGCAACCGAGTTATGTAAGCGTCATTCTCCTATTATCAAGACGGATAAGTGACTTAACGGACCATGAGCAGGTGCTGCTTGCGTTGTAGTAGGCAATTACAACAAACTATGTAAATTTAAAGAAACTGACACGATAGGCGGACCAAACTTAACCAGATGGTCAGTATTAATCCGGAGCCCTCATTATTTCGTGTTTCATAATAATATTGCGATCGACGCACATAAAACCCAAGAAATCATTATTACGATCTAACTGCCAATTTATTAGCGCAGCGAAATATTCAGCACTGAGACTATGTTTATGAATTCCGTGCCTTGTTTCAGCCGCTGCAGATAATGCTTCCTTGTGGCACTTTATATTCCATAAATACGACATATCGCTTTTTGTAAAAGTGGTAATTAAAAGTCTTGTGCTGCGTCTTCAAACACACATAACCAGGTAGTTTAGTATAGTGTTATACGCTCTCACTTTTCATAATTCGACCAGAAAAACAAGTACTCACTTGTGCCAGACATGCATCTTAAAGTAGGGACTACACATACAGCGCGAGTCGTTCACCTAAGTAGAGTAATATAGACAGTTCTTACGACTGCTCCCGGTTCCTGTGAATTTCGTGCCAGCGGTCGTTCCTGTGGCAGCGCCGCTCCACGCGCGCGCCTGCCGTCTCGGGTTTCCGGCTCCTGCCTGGTGCACGCTCGCCCCATGCCTGGTGGAGCAAGGTCCCCGGCCTATGCCTGCCGTCCCGGACGCCCCCTGTGGTCCACCGGGCACTACCTAGTCCTGTGCGGCCCCCGCCTCGGCTGAGCCGCGTTCTACCAGTGTGCAGCTCGCCTGCACGTAACGAGTCACCCTCAAGCCTCGCAAGCCGACTCAAGATTCCGCAAGCTGACCCGGCGGCTTGCGGAATCTACCCACCAGTACGGCCACGCCAGTTGAACTCCCGGTGAGGTAGAATTGTTTTATGTTTTCAGCGCTCGAAGGCGACGTTTCTGTGGACGATTTAATAGACGCTGTAGAAGAAACAGCCGGAGATGATAGTGTATTGGTGCTACAACACATGGGGGGGGGGAGCAAAATTTCTGGTATGCACCCGCAACGCTGGTCAGGCGACGAAGCTAATGGTTGCAGAAGGCTTTAGGGTTAACGGGGTGAACGTGCCGGTAGAGGCAGTCGGGCCGCCGGTTACGTATGTGAACGTCTACCGCTACCCCGCTTTTCTGTCGGATGAGACCCTTAGTAATGCTTTAGCCCAATCTGGTAAGGTGAAGGGCATTTCGTTCGCCACTCTAGCCACTCGCCAGACCAAGTTGAACGGAGTGCGTCTCGTGAAATTGAGATGTGTCGCCCTGTCCCCAACTTCATGACGATTGCGGGGCACAAAGTAATGTGCGAGTATAGAGGTATGCGTTGGGTGTGTGCGCGTTGCGGTGAGACCGGGCATATGGCGACCGTGTGCACCACGGCGTACTGTAAACGATGCAGCACATTTGGCCACGACACTGAGAGTATTTCAGCCGACTGCAAACGCTGCGGGGTACACCACGGGACGCGCGAGTGCTTCCGTAAGCGTTCGTACGCTTCAGCCGCCCGCGGCTTCCGCTCGCTTTCCAAAACCGCTGTGCCTCACCACGAGTCAAGCGGACCCGTCTCTGCCAGGGCTGCCATTTCACCGCGTCTGCAGGTTCTTACACCTAGGTCCACACCCCGCACATCAGAGGGGGCGTCCGTTTCGGGAGACCGCCAGTCTCACACTGGCGCGCCCACAAGTAGCGACACTGAAGCCTCGTCTGCCAACGAGGGGGCAGAAAGGGTGGACGACACCACCACCATGTCAACCGAAACCGAGCCGAGTGACAATGAGGCGGCCTCAGTGCAATCGCCACCTCCATTGCCCGCCGCACTCGGGTCAGGTCAGGATGACGGCGTGATGCCGTCATCCGCAGCCGAAGTGGCCGCCGACACTAACAAGTCACGAGTAGGACACACCTCCCCCACCGACGCACCCGCCAACGTCTTGGCCCCCGTGACCACCCAGGACCTGGAGGTCCGTGTCCAAGACGCCGTCAGCGTCGACCCCCCCATATGGAGGGAAGGACACTACGTCCCTCCCGAATATGGTGAGGACCACCGACGGACCCCGTCATCTTCCCCTGCACCCCACCCGGCACGACTAAGGCGGAAGTCGGACGTGAGACCGGGACAGACAGCCACAGGCCTCGAGCAGAGATCACGCTCGCGCTCACGGAGACGCGTCGACAAGCGGGAGGCGGCCGGAGGAGCGGGCGCTAACAGGGACGCACGGCAGCGCAGACCCGGGCCCATTGGTCAAAGCAGCGATAGCGACGCTCCGCCGCACGCGAAGGCCCAGAAGCTCGAGGAAGATGGAGGGGGCAAGGGGGAACCACCCCCCACGCCCTGAGACGCCGACAAACGCACAACGCGTCTCTCGGGGCAAAGGGGTTCGCCCATGCCCAGAGACGCCAACAAACGCCGCAACGCGTCTGCTCGCTCCGTCGGCTTCGCAGCCCTCCGGTCTACTCTGTTTACTCTCGCTTCTCTTAGTCGTTACTTTCCGGGCTTCGCCACCCCCTTTTCCACAGGCACGGCCTGCTCTTTCGCACCCTTCCATTCACACTTGGCTGATGAGCCATCCCGACGCGGGACGGGTGCTACGGCGCGTCTGCTCGCTCCGGCGGCCTCGCCCCCCCCTCCCCCCACGTCGATCTGCTCTGCCCGCTCTCGCTTCACTCGGTCATTCCCTCCCGCGCTACACTGTGACTCCCAGTTGAGGCTGTACAAGGCTGCATGCCCTTCGATTAAGGCATGCGTTTCTCAGCTCTTGCGCCCTGTTGCCATCACGCCATGGCCCCCTTTCTCAATCTCAGCACCATCTTTATTAGGTTATGGAACGTCAGGGGTTTCCGGGACAGAGCAAAACAGGAAAGTGTCCTAGCGTTCGCTCAAGCTCAGGGGATCGACGTCCTCTTAATCTAAGAGTCAAACTTCCGGTCGCCACTCGACGTTGCCGTCTTCAAGAGGGAGTTTCAGGTTGACGCCTTCTTCTCCCTGACGAACGCGAGGGCCTGCGGCGTGGGGGCCATCTTTGTTTCAGGCCGCTTCCGCCACAAGGCGTTCTGCACCTTCGGCGCGAATGGCAGAATACTTCTACTAGACCTCTTCGGGAACGGGAAGTGGTGCCACTTCGTGAATATTTATGCAGCGGCTAAAAGGTCTGACACGAACTCCTTTTTTCAAGCGTTACGCCCATACCTCATGGAGCCGCACCCGCACGTACTACTGGGCGATTTCAACTGCGTCATCGACTCCCAGCGGGACGTGAGGGGGCCGGGCCAAGGCAGGTCCACTTATCACGCCAGAGAACTCAGGAAGCTCTTGATGCACCTCAGCCTGACAGACGCCTGACTGTACACGCGCGGCGATCTCTTCGTCCCGACACGCACCTCGCAGCTATCGGCGAGCAGATTGGACCGCACCTTCCAGCCAGACTTCCTCCTTTCCTCGGTGGTTGCGTGCGAGGTCCTCTCCCCCCCCCCCGGCCGATCTGGCAAGGAAATATGACCACCTCCCGCTCGCCACCACCTTGATCGGTTCCCCCGGTGACCGCAGAGTCGACCAAGGCTGGCGCCTCGTCAGCTTTGTTACAAGATCAGGAAAGCGTCGAGCGCATTAGAAACCAACTGCGCGCATCTGTGGCGACTGCACCGAGCATGACCCCATGCACCTGGGACGCATTAAAAATCGAGTGGAAGGCAGAGACGAACGAAGGCAGAGAGAGAAAGCGGCGTATGACAGCCAGGATCAATGAGACCTTACGTAGAATCAGAATCGTCAAAGGGGCCGAGACACTTACGCTGTGCTTGCAGAATTACCTGACCACGCTGGAAGCCGAATATACCCGACTATCGCAACAGCGAGTGGCTAGACCACCTGCCGGGTGGGCCGAGGCACTCAGCCTAGCGGATGAGAACCATAATGAGGTACACGGGAACGGCGGTGTGTGCATCTCTCGTTTGAGACGCCCAGACGGCTCAGTCACAACCGATCCCGACGAGATCGCCGAGATCCTTAGAGATCACTACGAGACCGCATTCCGGAGCACGGAACCCAGCCGTGGACGGGGTGACGTGCGTTTCACAGAAGAGCTCTGTCAGAATCTCATTCGCGTAAGCGAGGAGGATGCCGCGCTGCTTGACAGCGCGGTACCCGTTGAGGAAGTACTCACCGCCATCAGAAGCATGCACCCCAACTCCGCCCCTGGCACAGACGGCCTAACCGCCTACTTTTATGTTACCTTTTTTGATGTTATCGAGCGCCCTCTCACAGAAATTGTCAACATGGTGGTCACGCGCAAAGCTAAGCCTAAGTCATTCGGAGAAGGGAAGATTGCACTCCTCCTGAAAGAAGGAGCTCCACAGGAGGAGCCGTCGGCGTGGCGGCCCATTTCTTTGCTAAACGTCGACTACAAGATTGTAGCTTCCTTGCTGAACACACGCCTGAAGCTCCTTCTGCCAACCATCATCTCTCCACAGCAGGCTTGCGCGGTTCCAGGCCGCACTATCTTCGCGAACCGGACCGCGACAAGGGATGTCTTCGAGTACATGACAGCGAAGTCCCTGTCGGGCGCCTTCGTTTACCTGGACCAGGCGAAGGCCTTCGACCGGGTCAGGCACCAATACTTGTTCAAAGTTTTACGCCACTTTGGGTTTCCGGCAAGATTTGTTGATACCATTTCCGCTCTATACAGCGACTTGACGTGTCACGTCATTGTGAACGGCACTCCAACTGACACATTTGCCTACGAGAGAGGGATCCGGCAGGGGTGCCCGCTAGGGCCCACCCTCTTCATTCTCTCACTCGAACCCCTCATAAGGAACTTGGCGCTAAACGAACAGATTAGAGGCTTTCCCCTGACTGGTGAGGAGGAGATCAAAGTAATGGCGTATGCGGATGACGTTTCTTTGTTCGTCAGAGACCCAGCAAGTCTCCTCAAGTTCCGGACGGTATTCGCATCATATGCGGAGCTCTCGGGCGCAGAACTGAACAGGGAAAAATGCAAGGCACTGCTGTTTGGCAAGTTTCCTCGCGGAGCCCTCGGCGATCTCCAAGTCGTCGAAGCAGTTAAGGTGCTGGGCATCTACTTCTGCTGTGCCGGCGTCGCAGAGACAACGTGGCAGCGGGCGCTGGAACGAGCACGGGCGGCGATTACTAGTCTCAGCTCCAAAGACCTCACACTTCGTGAGAAGGCCGTGGCCGCGAAGACCACCATCTGCGCCTTTGCCTACTATGCGAGCAGGGTGGCAGTCATGCCCACCAAAACGGCCACGCAGTTGTCAAAAATTCTCGGGTATTTTTTATGGTAGAACAAGCCAGCGCCCGTGCGACGCACACTCCTGCAGCTCCCAGTGAGTGAGGGGGGCCTCGGCCTCACTCACGCACTGACAGTAAGCAAAATTCTTGCTCTAAAAACGCCTAGAGCCCTCTTTCGTTCGAGCGATTATGTGGGTAGAGGTCTTATGCGCTATTGGCGCAACACAAGCGCGGCCTTCCTTGAGGCCGACCGACCGCTTGGCCCCCTCGCGGAGGCGCCATCGCCGTTTTACAAGGCAGCCGCCAGCACGATGTGGATGCTCCAGAGGAAGGCCCCTGACTGTGACGTGGACGATGCCCCACCAGCCCGAATCGCGGAGGACATCGCGGTACACCAGATAAGCGACGACGAGCTACTGATGTGCCGTAAGTGGAAAAAGAAGGCCTCCAATAATGCGCGAGAAACACCCCGAACAGCGCAGGACTTTGCATGGCGCGAAAACTGGGGGTGGGGGGGGGGTGTCTTACCAACCCGTCAGCGGCTTCACAGGCTCGGTATAGTTCCCTCGCCGCGCTGCCCGAACTGCCGAGCCGACGAAACGCAGGCGCACGTCCTCATGAAGTGCCCCGCGGTCAAGCCCGTATGGCGACTTGTAGCAAGGGACTTCAAAATCCGTCCCCCTCCAGCGCTGAACAGGAACAAGGGTGCGTTCGCCAAGTTAGTTGGGATGTGTACCTTGCTCGCCATCTGGAAACGCCGCTGCCTAGCAGAGGTGAGGCGGACAACCACGAGAGCGGCTTACCCAACGGTGTCCCGCGTCCGAGAGATGGTCTGGCGACATCTCTCGGAACAACTTGAGTGCAGCGGCGAGGAGAAGTTTCTGCGCCGCTGGCACACACGGTTCTTTTTGATGCGGCAGGGCAGGCTACAAACCCCGGTCTCCCCCTTCTAACACACGGATTACCGCTCCCTAAATAACTTTTTCCTTGCTTTATTCTGTAATGATATAATATAACTTTGTATAATGATGTCGCGAGCGCCTTTTTCGGCGCAGTCTGGGTTCACTGGATCTCCACTTGTCAATCTTTTCATTTCCAATTGTTCAATCATGCACATTGATAACAGTGTATAATGATGTCGCGAGAGCCTTCTGGCGCAGTCTCTGTTCACCGTTTAATTGCCCCTCTAACGGGCACTCTGTTAGTATAGATATGAGTTTCGAGGTGTCCAGGTGACCTCGATTGATGTAATCATACAAAGAGGTACTCGCCAATAAACATTCCCTTTGTGCAGTGTTGCGGGACGGCTCAGTGCTCTCCCATAGATGAGTACAAAGTATTCAAAATCGTTGAACATATTTTCTTAACACGCTGTACTGTTCACGTTCACGACATACGACGCAAGATTACCCGACGCAGTGTAGTAATAAAACATTATGCAACTATTATTAACAATAGGGAAATAATGTGGCAAAATATACTGTTGTGTACTTCTTACGGCTAAATACTGCTCACGTTCACGACATACCACGCGAGATTACACGACTAACTATTAATAACAATGGGGAAATAATGCAGCGAAATGAGCACGGTAGTACCACCTACTTCTTTTTTTTAAAAACCTTTAAAGTTACTACCTACGGTTAGTAACGGCTAAGGTAGTAACAGATACTAAAGCTGTTATTACCGCCAAAGGCAGTGACCGTTAACACCCTCGCCGTTACCAACTGCACTTACTACCAGGGTTGTAACATATGTGACAGACCATTACTAGCCAAAGTTAGCAAGTACTACTACCTTTTTTTCAGGAGCGGACCATATTATTAACAATGCTGTTACACAATAAGAATAATTTTTGGTGTGCCTGTGTATGTTGCGTTTCATGTACATATGTAAACATACTTTTTTTGTCATAATTTTTGTTGCGTCTGCGGATGTTGTGTCCCATCGCGATGTTCGGTAGGATTGTACTTGATGTTCACCGTTCGTGAGAATAAACTTCTTTAAACACACACGTTTTCGCACGTCGTGGGTACTCCACTGTCCGATTCTATAGGGCAGGTCGTGACCTCTTTCAAGGCGTAATTTCTG